CGAGGATTCTGACCTGGAGATGGAAGATTCACCCGCACCAAAACCTGCAGCACGCAGTCGACCAGGAAGAGCCGCAGCTGCAAGGCGGCCCCTAGTAATCGATGACGACTCATCACTAAATCTAGATGAACAAGACGAGAGCGAAGATCCTTTTGAGATGGATGACGATGATGACTAAAGCTGTGATAGATATATCTTTCCTTCTACTTTCCTGAGGCTATCTTATCCAGTGCTTTTCTTCCTGTACTCTTTTGCTACATTATTTGCTAGCAGATCACTGTTGCTCATGTTCCCAACAATTATCATCCGATAGCTAGATATCCAAGTAATGTTCTTATTCATATGTCCAGCGATAACAGAACTCCTTTGCTTATGAATCAGTACCACTCAAATTGCATTATTTTGCAGAGGTCTTGTAGGAGGGGTGCAAGGGCAACCGGAGCAAAAACGGGCCAAACGTGCATGTAACCGCCTAGGTATACCATATTACAAAACAAACAAACCAGTTGACACTAAATGATTAACTACATGAAGAATGGTGCTACAAACAGAGCAGATTGAAGAACAGATTGATAATCTTCCATTGCCCGCAAGTAACGTCACGATGATTCTAGATTCCAGAAATTTCTTATCTTATCTTATCTTATCTAATATTGGAGGGGTCTTCGTCAGTTTACTCACCAGCTACGCCTTCTTCTATTGAATAGTGGCTGCCGACAAGCATTTGTCTTCGGTCACAGATTCTCTCGGTACAGTGTGCGAGAATGGATACATCAGACACGCCGCAGTCTCTGCGCGCGCTCTTTGATGCCGCTGAGGCGAAGCGCCAAACAGTTGAGAGCTCCTACGACGGCTCCTCCCCCACCTACGCCTCGGAGCTTGAAGCTGCCATTTCCCTCTATACCAAGACTCATGAGGCTATAGCGGCCAGCTCTCTATTCTCTCCCAACGAGGGCATCGAGGATGTGTCAACATCAGAGCTCCCCTTCCTCCTCACCTCCTTCTACATTGCCGAACTTGTCCAAAAAACACCCCGACTACAACCCCAAGAACGGATACCGGTCCTTCGCCGTGCTCGCCTCGCCTACGATGCCTTCCTGAATCTTGTGGACGCTTACGGCTTGGTGAAGTCGCCGTACGACCGCCTCCTCGAGCGCTACCAAGATGACCGAGACGCTTTCGCTCTCGTCCCCAACACGGCCGACGCTGCCGCCAAACGGAACGGCAAGATTGCGAGCTTCAAGGCCGAGAAGGCCCTCAAGGAAAAGCTGTCTATTCTAAAAGCGAACCCGCGCTACCTCGAGAACGGAGACGAGGAGCTCGTCCGCGAGCTCTACCTCACCAACACGCTGTTCTGCATCCACACGACATTCACCTCCCTCGACTACCTCAACCGCGAACTCTCGCTGCTCTCTCGCGCGCCGCCGGCGCCACCCACAGCGACGCAGACGGATCCAACCAGGCCGCCGCCGGAGGTGGACCATACCCTGCGCCTCGATCAGCCCATGAGCCAGCTCCTCGGCAGAGGCGGCCCGCTCCTGTCCAAGGAGGGCAAGCCCCTCCAGCCCTTCACGCTACTGGGATCCGGGTCGAGGCAGGAGCTGCGGCGAGGGGTGTTCCGACCGGGGCACAACCTGCCGACCATGTCGATCGACGAGTATCTGGAGGAGGAGCGGCGGCAGGGCAACATTCTCGAGGGTGGCACGCAGCCCAAGACGGTGGTGGATGAGGACGACATGGATGCGGTGGATCGGGAGACGTACAAGGCCAGGGCCTGGGATGATTATACGGATGACCACCGGAAGGGGTCGGGAAATACGCTCAACATGGGTTAGATTCGTTGAAAACGAAGAAGAAAAGATTGAGGTTTGGGTGGGATATCATGGGCAGGCGTTTAGGCGCAGGGAGGTACAAGAAGCATAAGGGCTGCAACCCATAGCATGTCTAAACGAGAACAATCTGGGCAACAGGCATTCTCTTGTCGTTGCCAGTTGGACCACGGAAATTTGTGTTTTTAGTCGGGTTTCTAACAGAAGTACCTGGTCGATTTCTGTTTCCAATTTTGATACTGTTCCTCGGCCAAACATGCAAAAGTTCACTGAACATACTGCCCATAAGACCTCTCCATGTCTTTGATACCTTACCTAGACAGCGGCCACTCGAGGTTAAGAACAAAACGAATTGAGAGAAGCGCAGTTCACCTCATCACAGAGCTCAGTGTGGGACTTTGGCCCAAAATTTCATCATCGCTCAAGAAAATGCCCGGAGGCGTCTGATCCTCGAGTGGAACAGGCAAAAATGATAAATCTTGACCCAGTCTTTGAGAGCTCAGCCTTGGGCTGCATCCAGGCTTCCTCGCCCTAGTAGTGCCCGAAGGCTGCCTGTCCCTCAAGCAGAACAGGCAATCAGTAATTTGTATTTGAATTTCTTTCTTGACCTAGCTTTTGAGAGAGCTCAGTCTTGGATTGCATCTCGCTTCCATCATTGCTCTGGTAGTGCCCGCAGGCGCTTTCTCTCCCTCTTCTTCTCCTCAAGAGCATCAGGCATTCAGCGAGGTGCTATCTTACCCTCATGGAAATTTAGAAAAGAAAAAAAAGGAAAAAGGAAAAGGCAAAGGAAAAAGGAAAAAGGGAAAATGGGGGGGGAAGGAGGAAGGGGGGGAAGGGGGGGGGAAGGGGGGAGGGCGTAGTTGGGGTATTATTGGAATTTGGGAATCGCTCAAGAAGTGCCTGAAGGCTCGGCCTGCCCTTCGAGTGGAAGAGGCAAAACAATAAGTTGTATTTAAATCTTTTCCTTGACCCAGATTTTGAGAGAGCTCAGTCAGTCATGGATCGCATCCTGGTTTCATCATTGCTCCAGTAGTGCCCGAAGGCGCCTGCCCCTCAAGCGGAACAGGCATTCAATAAGGTAGTTCTTTGAACTCATGAAAAAGGAGCGTAATTGAGGGGTTGTTAGAATTGGTTGTCGCTCCAAAATGTGCCCGAAGGCTCGCCTGCCACTCATGTGGAACAGGCCATCAGCAAGTATGGCGTGACAGTCGCCCACCCAGGTGCCTGAAGAAAGAAGAAAGACAAAGCTTTTCCAGAGCGAGGAAATCTACCGATTAAATATTACACGTCCATCTCGCTCGATGCCTAAGGCAAACCTCAATTGCCCTCCAAGCCACTCACTCAAGGTTCAAGCCAGAACCCCCTGTTCGCCCTCCAAAGCATATTTGAAGTCCTCTAATTGCCACCGACAAAACTATATGCTACATTGATGGATTATCCTTCGTTGACGACGCCCGTGTTAGCTATTATAAAAACTTAGATAGAAGTTACCTCCTCCCCCGATGAAACCCCCCCCCCCCCCTTTTTCCACACTATGACGGCCACAACATCTGGGAGTTTGTTTCTTTGTAAGGTGACGGTTAAAGTATTGAAGCAACTATATAGAATTATAAATGTGCCCTTTATCAAGAGCGTTGTAGAAGCTATTTTGTTCTTGTATCATTCACTGGCTAGACTACCTAAGCGACAGAAGCTATCTGAAAGAGATGTCGGAGCAAGCCTAGTGTTTTTGGCCATTGGATAGGACCTAAACATGGAAGGACTCGCTTCGCCGAATGGTTATTCTGCCCACGTCTGGGCACCTGGGTGGGCAACCGTCATTGGGACCAGTGATCCCTACGGCACCCAGAACCAGAGCCATATGACCGGGTTGAAGAAGAAGAAGAAGAAGGAAAGAAAGCTGTGATGGAAGAAGAGAAATGGAAGAAGATGTCGACTGGGAGCAAGTGGGTTTAAGTAGGCGACAATGGACGACCTGCATCATCCCAACCATGACGTACACTTAATCGCAGTGACAGTTGCGAGGAAGGAGGCATGGGAAATCGGGAAGGCACTACAGGAGATTCAGACGATACGCTTTCCTCGAAGGGGATGAGCAGTGCTCTTATTTGATGTTGGGAAGGAGCATTGGTCGCCACCGGCAAGCCACAAGGACGAGCTACGTGATTTATACGGAAGGAACCCAGGTGTTTACAAGTTCTACGGCAGGGTGTCGTCTACAGCGTGCCTTCCTAGAAAGAACATCACAGAGACCAAACATTTGGCTTGGGGACCGACCGCTGGTCGCCAACGCGAAAACGGTAGGGGCAGGCTATGAAAATGGAATGGGCTGCCTGATGTTTCATCAGGATGCTCGTATATGTAAGGTGAAAAAGGTCCTATGATCTAGCTTAACTGAATTAAAGAAAAACAAATTCTCTGCAGAAGTAAAATAGCTCTATGTAGCATTAGAATCGAATCCAGTGGTGTGATCTTTATTGTTGGTGTTATGTTTTGGAACATCAGTATACAGCAGCCTGAATCCCATTTGACTACCTAGGTATGGTCTTGAACCAGCCCTTGGGATTAGGTTCAGTGTGCCCTTTAGGAGAAGCGATTAGAAAAGATATATACATCTTCATGACCCTGCTCTTCTTCTTCACCTGTTGATGTTAAGGTAGGTTAGAGCACTCGAATCTTCTTCCTCTCCTTCCTCGGAACAAATGCCATCGAGGCCATCTTCTGCGACGCTCCTCTTCTCCTTCCGACTGGATTCTTCATGGACAGACGAAGTGTCGAAAGAATGTGGCTCTCAGCGGCCATGGCAGTCAACTCGAACGAATTAGTGGTCAGAATGATCAAAGTCTAGAATCCATCGTCTCTAATTTCCTTCTGATTTAAGGCAAATCCCTATATTCTACATAGCTACTGTTGACAAAGCCCTCGTTATCATCACCAAACTTGCCAAATTAAAAATTACCCGAGTGCAAAATCCTAACAGCAGTATCAATCTCAATTCCGTCCAATTTTCGTTATTCTTCATTTCTTGTCGTTTCTTGGTTTTCTTTTTCTTTTTTTGTCGTTATCTATCGTTACATCTTGTCGTTTCTTGTCTTTTTTTTTTGTGTTGCTTTTGTTGTTTCTTTTTGTTTGTTTGTCGTTACTCGAGCTTCACTCGAGCGTGAAGCGGTTTTAAATGTCGCCATCGAAGTTATCATCGAGATCATCGTCGAAATCATCTCCGAAGGAAGTAATGGTTGCGTCAGACCCGGAGTCATCATCTCCGGGCACCGATATATCCACGTCGTCCAGGCCTGGGACATCCTGGTGAGCTGCAGGGGCCGCCCATACAGCCCGGTCGAATTCAGAGGCACCGTCATAAAAGCTCTCAGAGGCAATGGAAGACCCAAGGGCGATGACTCGGTCCGGGCGGTACACCGTCGAGGTACCATCCTGCACGTCTACCGACCGAGCGACTGAGCTTCCAGCGATATCTATGGCCTCTAGCTCGTCCATCAGTGAACCCGAGACACTGGATGTCTCTGAAAGTAAAGTCTGCCCGGTGTGGTAGGCTGGGCCAGGCCCGTTAGGCCCCATCTCCGCGGGTGGGAGGAAGTCCTCAAAGACACCACCCGTGCCGTCATCATTTCCGCCCGCCCACAGGGGAAGATACTTCATCTCGTTATCGTTGAGGGTAAGAAGCATGTGGCGAGTCAGAGGCAGGGCAAACTGGAACCTATGCTTGATACGGTCCCAAGTCTTGGTGATTGCTAATCCGTCGACGATGTCCGAGCGGAGCTTTCCCAGGTTGAGCAACGGCTCCTTCACTATGTAGGGTCGTTGCATGAGCGCATTGTCAGGAATCCGTTCGAGAACAGGTCCCCATGAGGAGAAATCCCTGCCATATGGTGCCCGAGCTACTGCGAGCAGCAATTCTCGCTTCAAAGACTGTATCTCCTGCCTAAAGTATACATCTTTGGTAATGCTCGTCAAGTCATTTCTAATCGTTGTAGAGACAATAGGACAAAGAAGTTTTTGGGTCGTGTTGAATTTCAACAGAATATCTCGTAGAGGCTTGAAATCCTTTGGCTCGGTGTACAAGACGCGGTCTTTGTCAAGATAAGAACAATCCCAGTCAGCGCACCTGTACAATGCCGAATTCAAGTTGCTCGTGACATAATTTTGGATCTCTCTCATGAGCGAACGGAGTTTCAGTAGGAGAAAACCCAAAGACTCGTCTTCTTGCTCAAGGGCTTGTTCGAGAGTTTTCAGTTTCTCCCACTCCTCTAATTCGAGCCTGTCGAGCAGAGCCGGAGCAATGGTTTCGTGGTGTTGCTTCACAATCCTGTCAGTAAAAGCACGAGCTGCATGCTGGATGACATTGACTGTCTCGTCGTCGGTGCTCCCAAGCCGTCTGCCAAATACCGACACCTGGCGGCGGGGCTTACCAGGTTCAAAGCCGTCGGCAGCCTCTTCAAGTGCTAGTTCGTTGACGAGGATTCTGAAGGCTGCCTGGGTGATTTCTGGTAGCTGAAGCCTGTAGCCAATTCGGAAAGCCTCTTCGGGTAGAACTTCAATAAACGTAGTGTTTGACATTATCCAGCTAGCAACCTGATCACGAATCACAGATGGTGCTTCAAAGATCTTGCTGATTGCTACCATAGACCATACCCGAGCGGCGGAGTTCAGGTTGACGTTTACCCCCTCGATCATCAACATGAAACGGATTATACTGTGGCAATGACGAATGACACAGTAGTCGGGTATCTGGTAGTGGTTGGGAGGGTCCATGAGCGTATCTTGGCCCTTCTCTTTCAAAATTTCCATATCACTAACGCTCGGGGGTATGGTGACTGAGATCATCTTCTGGGGTATATTCTGCACAAAGGTAGGTGAAATTCCATCGTCGTCCTGTTTAGCCGGATCTTGAGAAATTTCCAATGTAGGGGAAGGGATGGGTATGGAGACTTGGTCAGATGAGCAAGGGCAAACATCGTCATGACCAGTGACCAACTCTTGGTCAATGCTGAAGAGTGCTTTCGCACTCCAATACTTGATGATGCCTGGTGTGAGTGACAACTCGGAAATCTGGAAGACGAGGTCGTCGCCCTCGGTGGGAGGTGTAAGGTCTAGTAGATACTTGACGCCCTGGAGCTGGTCCTCTGTTGGTTTTCTGCGTCGCTTTACACGGGCTTGGTAGATGGCATTGTCCAGCATTTGGGGGAACTTAGAGTCTGAGAGGGCAAAAAGATTGCTTGAGTGGACCAAAAAGTGCTGTGATGCAGGGGTAATGCCGCCGCAAGTGGTTTTCATGCGCTGATCTTCAGGTAAGGAGGGGACGTCGACATAAACGAGCGTATCTCCCTCGTTGAGGGTAAGGTTGGCGTACAGGACCGTGTTCATCCCCTCTATCTCGGGGGTGCTGTAAGGTTTGATGGAGGAATTGGCCGGTTCGCCGCTTAGCCGACGGGCTCTGGGGGAGAGCTCGCCATCGACCGAGCGTCGATGTAAAGGTTGTGCTGAATTGGCAACTGGAGGCAGTGTCAACCCCGAATTTGAGGGGCCGGTGGGAGATTCGGTGGTCTCCATTGTCGAGTCGGAGGAACCAGGCCTCGATCGACGTGAGATCAAATGTTGTGTCTGTATAGGAAATGGAGGAAGGTACCAGTGCAGAAGAGGAAAGGCGGGAGTGTGCTTGTGTTTGTTTTGATGGTATGTTTGTGTACAGAGGTAGATGTGTGTAGGATAAAAAAACCACGAATTGAATATCACAGAAAGCGCCCGAAGAAAGTTGCCAGGAGCATGTACGAGACCAGGTTGAAGAAGCTAGTCTCGAACCTTGAGCGTAATTGCCCAGCTGTTCCAGAGGCGCAACTAATTCGACGGGATGAGACTGGAAGAAAAATTGGATGGAAGTGTATTTTGAACTGGGGATGGGAAAAGTGTAGAGGGGTGACTCATGGGATGAAGGAGGAGAGAAAGCACCTATGCACCGGGAGAATTGTGGTGGGGTGCTCAGCAGCCAGGCGATACGAGGGTACCAACATCAAATAGCCTTACGTGGACCAGGGCCTCTACTTAAAGCCCGAGTACCGCCAAAGGCAGACTCTACCTACTGTGTAATTACTTACCTACCTGAGGCAGTGAGAAATACTAGGGACCATTTGAACCTTGAATGGAGGCATGGCCCCTGCATGCATGCAGTCCGTCTGCAGCAGCTGATCGCCTTGCCAGCTGTGGTGTTGAGCTCCAGGCAGCCACGGTCCCCTATGGGTTAGCGGCACGCCTTACGCCTGCTCCAGTTTTCCCACCACTGCCTTCAAGGCTACAACCTTGCCGAACCTAGTAAAAGCTAATGTAATGTAAGTCTTAGGCAATGTGGGGTGCCGTGGTTCCTTCAATTCGGCGCCGGACCCAGAGAAGAGCTGGGGCTGTGGCTTGCCGTACCCTGTATTGTAGCGTTGCACCCGCGGGCATGGGTAGGATTTGCATCTACATCATACATAGGGCCAAGTGATACATTGCAAATGCCAACTGGGTCGGGGTACAGTACCGGAAAGGCAGCCAACAGCTACCTGACCGCTGGTCCCTTCTCGAAAGAGCCTCCTTGATCGCCATAAGCTCATGCCCACCACACATCCACGTAGGCAGTACCTATAAGGCAACAGCAGCCTGCGCCACCCCGCACAGCACATCCCCTCCATCTCGACAACCCCGCCCTACCCTAAGGCAGACAAGATGCACACAGGTCAGAGAGTAAAATGCCACATCAGACACACTTCAGTGAGCTGAGAAAAACGCCGTGTTGGCTCAGCCGCCCCTCGCAGACAATCAGATTTCAGTACTCAAGTGGATGGCAGGAGATGGTGACACCTAATGGAAGAGTCGTCATAAACAGACTACTTTTTGTGATAGATAGAAAAATTCAATTAGAAAAAAAGCAATACTTGACCACATATAAGCTGCATTATCTAATTGTGTGTTATTGGCACTCAATAATCTAACAATACCGCTCACAGGCTTGGAAAATAAGCAGCTTAATGTTTGAGTGTCTTAATTTCAATGGCACCTAGGTAGGTACTTGGCACTTATGCCGCCCGTAAAACAAGCTCAGACACGCTTGTAGTCAAACTCCATACTGATATTATCACCACATAGTGGCCTACTCCTAAAGTACGTCAAACAAGTGACCCAAATAATACAAATCCCTCAAACTGTGCTCAATTCCTGGTAACGCCCGAATATGCCATCTTTCCGTTTCCCTTCCCATTAACCCCCACGTAGCCCCGTCTCTGTCCCTTTTCCGATTACCAAAAAAAGCCCACTAAAATGAGCTACCTCGCCGGGTGAAACCCCCATACTCCTCCGCCTCACTCTCTGAAGAATAGGCGGGCGCTTTGCCTTTGCCCTTGTTGCGGGTACTCAAAGGTTGCAGCCCAACCTTAGGCTCCTTCATGCTCCTCCGGCTGATGGGCCTGGAGGCCCCCGAGCTCTTCTTTGGGGTAGCATCGCCCCTCCTCCTCTTCGACGGTCCGGATCTGCTTTCGTCGGCAGGGCCGTCGCTCACCGCCCCCTCGGTAGACGAATTGAGCCGTGTCACAATCCCCGACGATTGCTTCATGTCTCGCATCTCCTTGATCATTTCCGCGAAGCTCTCCTCAAGCGTCTTCATTCGCGCAAGAACCAACCTCCCCATCCTATCTCTATCAGTTGAGTCTCCCCCTGCAGCCGCACGCATCCGTTTATCTTTCATCATGGCCATTGCCATCTGCGTCTGGAAACTGCCAGGCATGCCTACATGGTGATCCTCGGTCGCAAAATGCAAACTCATGTTATCAGAAAGAGCATCTAAATCGACAGAGGAAAGCCTCCTAGAAACTCTGGGCCGGTGCTGTGGTTCTATGCTCATCAACGCTGAGCGACTAACCCCTCCAATTTCCGTAATGCCACGAGGGGGTAGTGTCGGTCGTTTGAGGTTTGCAGGAGCTGGTACTCTCCTTGGAGAAGCACGACGTGGAGAGCTTCTCCGCGGTGAGCTACGCCTTCCAGGAGTTTGATGTCCGCCCATACTGCGCGCACTGGGTCGGCTACCAGCGGGAGACTTCAAAGCCTGTTGTGATGCCGACGAAGAGCTCTGAGATTTTGGCTCTTCTGGGTTGTACAAAATCGTGTTAGTTGATAACGTACGGCTATGTAGGCCGCCTCTGCGCTGGCTCATGGGGCGTGGCGTCGGTGGCACTACTCCTGATGAGCTGTGCGAAGACGGGAGCTTGGCGATGCGTGATGTCATAGGTGTCATGAAGTAGTCATCCTCCTCGCCCCCGTCTTCGTGTCTATCCCTTCGGCTGGAGATGTCGTTGGTCGCATTGTCGTCCTCGTCTTCGTCATTTGTTACCAGCTCGTCGTCTCCATCCGCGTCCGTATGATCCTTGTACTCAGGCACCATAGGCACTAGGTTTCTTCTAGATATGCTCCTTGGTAAATTTGGTCCGCCCAAGTTGGACATGAGGTCTGCAGGATCGCTTGCGATAGACCGGATATCCGACACATGCCGAAGGTTCGAGGGCCGTTCCCATCCCACACTCATCCGCCTCTGCCACTCTGGAAAAGCCCGGCTGTCCAGAGTCGGCCAGTTTGTCGCGGGGCTGCCATCTTCAACATGCTGATCCATCCAGTTTCGAATTGCGGTTTGAGTTTTGCGCCTCTCACTCCTCCGCTGGGATCGTACTGTCGCCGAAGCCGGGACCCGGCGGAAAACCTCTTCCAGAGCTCGGTCTTTCTGAAAGCCAGAAACAGACTCCTCCCTGACTCTAACATTGGGGCTGAATATGGCAGTTCTTAGACCTGGGTCGATGAACGACACCGTCCTATCCCGAGCGCGACCCGGATGCTCGATCAAATCCGTTGGTTCAAACATTGACGGGGCTAACCAAAATCTTTCGTACAAGTAAATAAGGAAGAGAACCGGGAAGTGCGTGACCTTGATGATGGTACGGTTGAGCCAGACAAACTGTCTCAGCGGCATGCAGTATCGCAAAGGCATGAGCAACCAAGCGAATATATTGCTGGGAGCAATGTATGAAAAGAGCGCATCATTCTTCACCATAGATATAGTGTTGATAGCAAACAAGAACCTAGGTACGTGTTAGAAGCATAGACTCGATGTAAGGTTAAAAGGTTTCCTCACTGGTGTTCTTCAGTGGCATTAGACGCAATCGCCATGAATGAATTGGTCAAGACAGTGATAAGGATGGTCCTGGTTTTACCATTAGCGGGGGCATTCATATACCTCCTGCAGCAGACGACAACTTACACGACCAGGAAATGACAAATAATGAGAAACAGGACCATAAGCATGCGTCCAAGCCAGTTGTATGTCGGCCAACTATAATAAAGAACGTCGTCAGCACAACTCTGCCATGTATGCTTCCAAATCCGTAAACTTACACATCCCAGGCTGCTGGCGTGAAACCCATTAGAATCTGAAAGATCTTGTATGCTACTTCACCACCATCATCGTTATTGTTTGATAGGGTGAAGAAGACATAGAAGCCACTGCAGAGGATGAGCACCAAGGTGAAGACAGCCACCAAGTCCACGGCCATCAGCCGGAAAGCGATGAGCAGCTGCGAGAAGTACTGGTAGTGATCGAGGACACTGAAAATTCGAGGCAAAAGCAAAATTGCATTTGCAGCAAGGACGTCATAGGCCATGTCATTCCAATGGTGAGGGTCCACCATGAAAACACCATAGGCACGCATACAGTAGTATACTATGAGCAACACGAGAATGCCCAGATCGAAAAGATTCCAAAAACTCATGATGTAGAGAGCGAATCCTTGCTCGTTGAAACCCACCAACTCATCCAACATGAATCCTGCACTCCAGAACCAAAAGACGAGTTCTAGGCCCGTGATTCTAGACGATCTTTCCGACAGTACAGCAAGGAAAAGTCCGATAAGAATGGCAAGGGAGAGTGTAGAAAGGAAAGATCTATATCGCGGAACCCTGAGCCGCGAGAGCTTGAGCATGGAAGCTTGTCTTGGATCGTACAACATCACAGTTCTTCTACCAGGTGGAACATGAGGGTGGGTTTCATTTTTGGGAGGAGACCCGAGCAAAGGCGTCCTAGAATCAGGTTTGGCGGTGCTCTCGGTACTGCTAGGAAATGAGCCTTGGGGCGCCTCGCGATGGAGACTGTCAGCTGAAGAATAGAAGGTTATGGCACCACTCCAAATAGCTTCCAGTTGCTGGACCACTACTGGATGAGCAAGAAAGTGCTTCGCAGAAGCACGGATCGCAACTTCGAGGGTGGATGTGCGAGAAGCCGTCAGAGCGTTCTTTGCGCTGGGCCTGGGCAAAATATTCTGCGATGCAATACCGGGGACGCCTTGAAGAGGGTAGAAATCATAGGCGAGCGCATCAATAAGCTCACGCGTGCTGTATTCTTTCAACATCTTCAGGGCCAGCAGTTCGCAAACTTTGGCCCTGGTGTTACTCGTCCCAGCATTAGCAGCATAGAGTTGGCCTTCTTTGTTGAACTGTAAACAGTTCGCCATCAACGCGTATAGAGTCGCTCGTGAAAAGTGTTGCGCTCGGATTTGACGCTGCATTGGCTTAACGAGGAATTGGGAGATCTGGGGGGAGCGCAGCTGCTCCCAAGTCAGCGTGGTTTCGGTTCGGGCCGTGACGATAATTCGAATCGCATGGGTAAGGCTGTAAACTGGTAGGGAATCTGGAAACAGTCAGTACAATTGGACAGTAGAAATCCATTGGCATGTGTCAGTACCTAAGTGTGTTGCAGAGAAGAGTGGGAGGACGGGCAATGCAGCTCGCCGCCCATCCTCATCCCCTTCGCCATCGTCGTCGTCGCCTTCGTCTCCCTCATCTTCTTCATCATGGCCGTCGCCATCATCTCTGTCGTGGAACCGTGCATTTCTCCGGTTGGGGTCTTCGTGGTCGTCATCCTCGTCTTCGTCGTCATCATCTGCTTCCGTGAAATCTGCAGTGGCTCGTTTGCGATAGGGGCCTGGGGATGGAGAGTCCCGAGGGCCTAGATGGCTGTCTCCAATCCCGCCGACGCGGCGTCTGGCTTGTCGAGGCCGACGGAGGAAGGACGAAATCATGGTATGTTCACCAGGTCTCGCTTCCCACAATACCAAACCACCTGTGGCCTGCCCCAATCTGCACTTATCAGACCGCCATGAAGAGGCGTCGAGCTGTGCAGAGCAAAGTTTTTGGGCGACTGGCCGACGGTGGAGGCAGGTTGAGAGCTCCAGGTCAGGTCCTTGAAAGAGTGGAAAGGATCTCCATAATGCGTCCTCTAATACCTAGCACCTACGACAGCATCCTGGTACTACCGAGCAAGGATGCATGCGGCAGGTCAGAATAGTGCCTGCCTTCCCTGCCCAGGCCAGAGGCGAGGCGAGACGAGGAAGCGAGGCACCTGGCCGCTAAGTTAGTTCCAGCACTTTGACTGTACCGGCTGGGCCTAATTTGCACTACGGGCTACGGTTGATCTAGCACGAACTACTAACTTGTGCCTGTAATTTACACCCGTCCGTGTGCTCGCCAAACACGGCAACTAAAAAAACAAATACCGCCTCCTACATATTTAATTGGACTGCGAGGAACGGACATGAGCTCAGCTGACCTGCTTTCTGGCCGTTGGACCGTTGACTTCAGCTGGGTAGGATCTCGATGTGCATTGCTGGTTGGCTAGCAGCGATGGTGTATCAGGCTTGGCTGTCTTACCTGCACCTCCCCTTGCTCCTTTCGAGGCGGATTATGATACATTCCCCACTGGGAAACTGGAGAACTAACATGTCTGGGCCAGAACTCGACTCGACTCGACTGCAAGTGCCACAAACAACCTGGTCACGACTCTGGCCTGTCTAGCCTTGGGTCCAGCACGGCGAGGGGCAGCCTGGTCACGATGTCAGATGGAATGCAACTTCCATTGCATCGTGCAGGCCCCAGACCCGGATTGCCTGTTGGATGGCGTTATCAAACTGGCGTGTTATCTGCAATCATGGAGGACTGGACGCATGACACCTTTTAGCCCGCCGCAGAGTCGCACTTAGTGGGTCGTTGCATGCACATGCAAGATCACTATTCCTCATTGGTGCAACCCTGGAGATTTGCTCCAAGCATTGAGGCTGCCTGCGAACCACCACGCAGTGTGTAGAGGCCGGTCCCACATTGTTCAGCCGTAGACAGTCAGTTTTGCTTGTGAGAGCTGATATGATGAATCGTCGATTGGGAAAGGCAAGGTGATTTGGGTGTGGCCACTGCATGTCCTCATACTAGTATAATGGGCTTATCCCAAAGAGATGCATTCTCAGCTGGATGAACTTTTGGCTTCATGTTCTGAAGTCACATTCGATCAGGCGGTGTGAGATGTTGGAACTACTACCAATGAGACCTAGAGTTACACCCGGAGAACTTGTCGTCAGCGCGGCTAGCAAGAAAATATACAATCGAGCAGTTTGGGGGAACGCCTGACGACACCATGTTGCCATTTACTAGGAGTCCTTGCCCTCAACATTAAATCACGCCTTCAAATGCAACCCATCCTGAATACCCAAGATCATCGCCAGCCCTGATTATACCCATATCTATCACGAAACACGCATATGGTGACATTTGCAACAGTCAAAAGGGCAAAAATACATATAACAATCAATGTTCAAAGTGGATCTTCTTCAAATCAGTCCAACATATCCCTCGTGGCAGTATCCTCCATTTGCCTGCAGACGACGTCAGAGAGCCCCATAGGCCCATACATCCCTTGTTATTGGTCCTCCTTCACCAAGCCTGGCAAGCCTGGCCAACATGCGAATATGTCGAAAGAGACCAGCCCATAACCTTTCCAAACTTTGTCATATATCGACCTCATGCCCTCTTGCCTCGATGTTGCCCCTGCCAGTCGTCGTTGCCCTATTATCCTCCCCGTTCGTGCTAACATTCTTGTCATTCCACGATGATGCCCTTCTGCTATTCATTCCATTCTGCGACACTCATTCGAATGTATAGCTAAGAAAATTCTCACTCGGCGTACTTTCCACACACAAGCACGCAGGCAAGCTTTCCAGCCTTATCCGCTAACTTGGGAAGATAAATGTTCACGGTTTCTTTTCCTTTGACCCAGTAGACCATCTTCCCAAGGTACACCCAGTCAGAGTTGGTAGCGTTGAATGAGAATTTAGGGGTTTTATCGTCGTCAGAATCCTCGCTTAGCTTCATTGACTGTTTTGCCTCATCCCCAATTCTGCCGCAGAGCTCGATCCCGGGCTCCAGAAAGGCAGGCACAAGCATGATGTCAGTGTCGTACGAAAACGAGTTCACCTTGACCAATTCCCCTTCACTATCCATCCCTGGGAAACGGAACTCCAGCGTCTCATAAGATGGCCCCAAAAACTTCCCGGCACCGATCGTGGCCGTAAAGGCTTTCGATGCATCGACGAAGACATGATTCCATAAAAAGTACAGGCCCTCCCTCAGTGGGGTGGATATATTCTCCCTGTCTGGGTTGCGCATCGCGGCAATCTCCTCCTCCGATGACTCTTGAATGCAGTAGGCCAACTTCTCGAACCACTTGTTGCGGGCAGGACCTCTTGTTAAGGGCTCGCCTTCGATCCAGTTATCCCGGAGAAGCCATGCTTGGCGCAAACGTGTTGCCACGGCCACCATATACGGAGCTTCGCCAAAGTAGTTGCCAACACAGCGAGGATTCTGAACTTGCTCCGCGGTCAGGGAGGATGTGACAGTATCGCCAGGATCCATTGTTACTAGGAAATATCAATGTTAGAGTTAACTAGATGGAAAAAAGAAGAGCATAGTATTGACGAGTATTCGCTTTGGTTTAGACATCATTGATGATTATATAGACAAAAATCAACAGATGTAAGCACTCCTGCAAAAACAGAATAAAGCGTCATGTTGGCGTTCCATACCTCGTCCCTTTTTGGGCAAGATGTTACAAGTTTAGGCAGATGCCAGTGAGTCACATCGCTGACTGCATCATTATGCTCTAGCTTCAGTATGTGAGTAGGGAAGTGGTGTGCCATGCGATGGATTTTGTTACCCGACTCTACACAGAAGGGTTCGTCAGGCCTATTCGAAGTGTGACATCAAAATTACTGGTCTCGTTCGTGCGAAGGCGGTGATGGCGTGGGAGCAAGTCCAGCAGACCCACGAGAGCAGCCTCGGAATCAGAGCCCCAGCCAAATTTAAAGAGCATCGCAAACCGTTGTGAATAATTTAACTTTGGCTAAAAGAACAGAAATTAAGGTTAAGTTAAATTTCCGCAGATCAAAGCTGCCCTGCATTAACATGAAAGTAGAGTTTGTGAAAAGACCTAAAACCGACTTGTTATAGGGTAGCCCTCAGACAAGGCTGACTTACTAAGACGGATGTGGCTGAAGCTTGTGCCACAGGAGGTGGCACAGAGTTGGCAGACCAATCAAAGACCCTTTCATCCATGCATATCCAAGCACAGCGCATAAGGGGCAGGGTGGAGCCATCTCCGCAGTTTAGAGGGTCTCGTGCGAGCGGTTGTAGAAATGTACAATGTGACAGAATCGGGAAGCACGCGCCACAACGGCCACCGCGAGTTTATTTGTCCCGCGACAAGACGCGTCCCAATTGGCAGGAATAGGGCGGCTCACCAAGGCTACTTTGGATAGTGCCGGCAGGGGACTGCGAGCGATCAGCCTTTCTCATATCCAGGTTCGTGGAATGGCAGCTCGCGATGCAGGGGTGCATCAGGCGGGAAGTCAGGGGTCGAAATTTGTCTACAACCGACGCTTACATAGTACAATTGGCAGCCAGACCCTGTGGGGTCCCTGTATCGGCGGGCGAATAGGACGGCATTAGCTGCTCTCCCCCTTGAGATTATCACTACCACAGTCCCTAGTCGCGCGCTATGGAAGCAATTACAATGCCATCCAACCCCTAGACGTGCTCCACCGTTATCCTCACCGGGTTCCCAATGCCTACAATGTGATATGATGATCTATTTCCCCAAATTCCCAAGCCCCCTTCTTTCCGACCTCTTGAAAGCCACTTCCCGACCGGCTTGCGAGTTCGATAAACTTCCCGTCTTAGGATCTCGACGCCAAGTTTCCCAAAGTCTGGCAATCCTCGGGCCAGTTCGTACGGCGTCAACAACTTGGAACTTAAGGGGGCAGAGCCCGGCGTAGCCTCCCCAGCATCCCTCCGTTTCAGCTTCCCGAACGTGCCTCCACCGTCCGATGAATCGAAACAGACCGCTTCCCCCTCTCCTCGACTGCGAGTTCAACACCGTACCCAGCCTCAGCATTTCTACGTTCTGAGAAGTCGCGGAGCGACAGGCCCGTGGAGCTGGGATTGGCTAGGAGTATATTGGCTTCTTCTGTTTCCTGGCACTCGTAGCCTTCGTGCAGAGAGGCTCTTGTTCTAGCAACCTACCTCCTCGACCCCTGATTCGACTGCGATGGCTTCCGGCCAGACCAAAGGCGATCATGACTCGCTTCCGACAGCTGTCCCGACCGAAGCGAATAAGAATGTCGAGGTAGAGGCGTCTAAAACAATTGAAGATGCCGAGGTAGAGGCACCCACGTTGGCCAAGGATGTCGAAGTGGAGGAATCTGGAGCAGCCACAGAGGTCAAAGTTGAGGTATCCAAAGTGGGCAAAGATGTCGAGGCGGAGGTGGCCAAAACAGCTGAAGATGCTGGGGTTGAGACATCTAAAGCAACCAAGGACATCAAAGCAGAGGTATCCAAAGCGACCAGTGACACTGAAGCAGAGGCGCCCGAAGCAGCTGAAGACATCGAGGTAGAAACACTTGAAGTGGCCACGGACGCCGAGGTAGAGGTAGAGGTGCCCGGAACGGACGATGTTGTTGAGGCTGAGACACCCAAGATAACACACGATTCCATGGTTACAGTCCGACTTTCCGAACCTCCAGCTTTGGCATTGGACACTAGTTTCGCCGGGGAAGACGAGCCAACGACACCAACCAAGACAGAGGCAGCAGGCAAGAGACCCGCATCTGTCGGGAGCAGAAGCCCTGTAGAAAGCGTGAGGTCAGCTCGGCTATCCTCAACGTGTGATGCCCCATTAAGTTCACTGCAGGAGGAGCTCGAGGAGGACACAGATAATGAGAGTTCTAGAACCCTGTCGGGAGAACAGGAAGAGGTCGATTGGGAGAAGCTAGAAAAGACGGAAGACGAGCAAACTAAGGGTGATGACACGGATAATGTATTCACTTACCCCCCCTTGAGAATATCAGTTTCTTGGATAAGAGATGCTAACGCTCGCAATATAGTCAACCGCACTACTTCTGGCCAGACTGGAACAGGAAAACGCAAAGCTGGCTACGAACCCCAAGAGCGTCAAAGTCAAAGTCGAACATGAATCTACGCCAAAAAAGACGAGACCTCCATCAATGGCTCAGCTCCGACAAATGGTCACCGGACCGACGTCTCCTGCACTCCGATACTCGATGCTCCCGCCCCCGCCCATGACAGATCTCGAATTCTGGGCCGCCTTGGTGAAGGATTACCAGCAGACTGCTGCTCGACTACCGACACTCCTTTCGAAGAAGATTCACAAAGGTATCCCCCCGCCACTCAGGGGAGTTGTTTGGCAGAGTATGTCTGGAGCACGCGACTTTGCACTCGAGGAACAATACGTCAGACTTTCCGGCGAGTCGAGTCCTTATGAGCCTCTCATCGGCAAGGATCTGAACCGAAGTTTTCCTGGTGTTGAGATGTTCCGAGACCCTGATGGCGACGGTCAGCAAATGCTTGGCAAGGTTCTGAAGGCCTTCAGCCTGTATGACACTAAGATTGGATATTGCCAAGGGTTGGCATTTCTCGTTGGTCCACTTCTTATGCACATGCCAGATAAGCAGGCATTTTGCGTCCTGGTTCGGTATGTTAATGATGGCTTGCGCATGGCTGACATGATGATTGCGATGCTGACTGATGTAGGCTTATGGAACGTTATGATCTACGAACCTGCTTCCTCCCAGATCTGTCAGGCCTCCACGTACGAATATATCAGTTTCGAGAGCTCCTCCGTAGCAACCTGCCTGAGTTGTCCAGCCACTTTGAAGAGCTTCAGATAGATCCGGCCTACGTGTCTCAGTGGTTCCTGAGTTTCTTCGCAGTCACATGTCCGTTACCAATGTTGTTTCGAATTTACGACGTCATTTTCGCAGAGGGTGCATCTGAGACACTTATGAGAGTAGCATTGTCTCTCATGCGTAAAAATGAGGCTCGATTACTGGCTTGCAGTGAGCTCGAGGATGCCATGCAGCTTCTGCTCTCCCGAGGCATTTGGGACTGTTACCATTACGATGCTGACTCATTTGTGGACGACTTCGTTAGTCTCACCGGTGAGGTTTCGCGGGAGAAATTGTCACGATTGGAGCAGGGTTATCGCGAGTCTCTTGTTGCTGCAGCGAGTGTTACTAGGGCGTCAGACATCACAACGGCGGCGACGAGATTCCTGGGTCGGATATGGGCATCATCGAGTATCGGATCGCCAAGGTCGGCAACACTCTCGCCGAGTACTGGTGTTCAACCACGGCCGTTGAGTCTGCTCAGGCGGAGCACATCCAAGCAGAGCCTCGCCTCTACGTTGAACTCGATGGAGGCAAGCTCTTCCAGCGTGACGAGCTCTACATCTACAGTCGCATCAACGGTATCGAGAGACTCTTCAAACACAGATGACGTGCCCGCAAGTCGAGAGTCTACTCCCGTTGGCCCGAAGCCTTTAGCCAGTCCAGTTGCCACCGACGAACGGTATCTTCACAGCCAAATCGAGGATCTCCTCACTGCCCTCAGCGAGTTGCAGCGCAATCATGCTGTGTTGACAAACCAGCTTCAGAAGGAGCGTGAGGCACGGGATGAGGAGAGGAGGGCTACTCGCTCTCTTCTTCATGAGCTGAAGGAACTGCCTGGCTTTAATCCAACAAAGGATACAGGGGCCGAGTCTGCGTCGGTTGGACCGAGTGAAAGTCTGACTACCCTGCTCGAGCAGATGGAGGAGCGGTTCAAGGAGAGCAATGATAAGAAGCACGAATCGTTATTGCAGAGCAAAGCAGAGCTGCTCGAGCAACTGTCCCAGGCCAAGCAGCAGTCCTCACACGCCGAGGCGCAGACCCAAGAGCAGGGCCGGAGAATACAGGACCTTACTCAAGAGTTGTCAGCCACCAAAGACCTCCTTCGTGAGAGCCATGCCCACGTTCGTACCCTTCACCAGGACAAGCAGAGGCTGGAGAAGCAGGTGCACGGCTTGAAGACGCGGTCTGCGGTTAGTGCGTCTGGGGAGACTGTAAGCCGCGAGCAGGATGCAGAATGGGCAAGGAAGGGCATGGGTGGTGGCTTGAGAGAGTTCAAGCTCAGCCGGAGCAAGTCAATACCAACACCGTCAATCAAGCGAGCTTCGTCCCTGCCGCTGGAACAAGCGACAGGCCTCGGTATATCTGTCCCGCCGCCTCAAGTGGTGGAACCCAGTGTGCCGTCTCCCGAAAAGGAGGCTCTCCTGATCGAACTCGCGCAGGCCAAGACAGCAGAGGCGATCGCAAAACAAGAGGCGGAGGAGGCAAAGCAAAGGCTCGAAGCTTTCCGCAAGGCACAAAGCGCACACAATCTAGCTGCAGTAGATGCCAACGCACAACAGGCCTCTATGGGGGTCTTTGGTCGGCTTGCAGGACACTCATCGGCACCGTCGAACGAGGCAGTGCCGAAACAAGCGGCTCCAAAACAAGCAGCGGCAGCTAACACAAATTCTGGATCTGGAGGTTTCTGGGGATGGCGCAGATGAGGGCATGCGAACTGGGAAATGGATGGAAACGACTAATGACTTGAATTTGACCCAGCGCCAAGCATTCACAGATGGGTCACGCGACACCCGTTAGATAGCAGGACTCGGCCTCGTCCGTCAGCCTGGTCTTATGTGGCCAGCTGGATAGTTGGAAGGGGAGGCAGCGACTCATATGATGGCAGTTGACTCACAAAGGGCACATGGAGTTGACAGGTGTGCAATCACGCACATCTGGGCCTGGATGGTTGGATGGGCGAGGCCATCGTCATTGGCGGGCGACGACCCCCACCGGACCACCAGGCCGGAGCCGCGGCCCAACACCACCTACATCATCATTTTTTACCATCACCATTCATCATCAATCATATCGTACATGATCAAATGCAAATGAGCACGGCGTTCAGGGACAGAGCTGTTAGATACCTAATCAGGATTCGGTATGAGATGAGCCCATGTGAGCTGGAACATACTTGGGTCCCAAACTTTGTTTTAGAAAGAATACCCCGATAGATTCATACAATTTAAATTGTCTATGTATAAAACTAACGCACACGCACCGGCGACGTTGCTGGTATGCGATGCGGCGTCCGGATGATGTAGGTGCCATATGTTGGCACAGCACGACGGGCGCCCACTCGGATTGCGCAATCACATGTCAAGCGCAGGTGTTTTGTTTTTGTTCTCGCTAGCGCCGGCATCGTGACCGGGGCCTCATGATGATCTGAGCGCAATCCTCTCATCATCTCCTGCATGGAAAAAAAACCTTTCCCGTCGATGCTAGGTTCCAAATAAAGCTGAGGAGCGGTTTGGAGGTGAAGAGGACAGATCATGAAGTGCAAGCTGTCCATTCCAGGCATCTCGGTGCCGGCATTTGCGCCGTCGGGGCATCACGGGTGGCATGTCATAAATACGTAGCATCTTAACGCTGGGGGAGAGAGCCGACCTGCCTTACATATCGCCCTACCAGGAGAGGTGTGGACAGTTCCATTTCCCTGATCTTGGGAATATTTCTGTTCGGAGTGGGCTATGGTGGGGGCGCGTGTCTTGTACTGGCAAGTACCCTCGCAGCCTCCATTAGCATTGACTGGTTCATTTGGCCCGGGCTCCTTGTCCTGTGGGCGCGCGTGTGTGTTGTCAGTTCGTCAGTAAAGAGCGGACAGCATGGGCAAGGGGCTTTGGGAGCATGATAATGGGCAGACAGTCATGCCTGGATCAAGTGTCATCTCGTGTAGGTAAAAAGAGAAAAAAAAAGCAGAAGCTCGGAGGGGTTCATGGCGCTATCGAGGAAAGGGGCCACTTGGACTGTGCTGCTGCTGCTGATGTAGTAATGCCGTCATCTCCAGAGTGGGCTCGCCTCTATCTCTATCTGTTGCTGCTGCTGCTGCGATTAGCGGCGGTTGGCAGTGTGGTTTGTGTGGTGGTACCTGGATGGGCCGCTAATGCTAGTGGGCATGTACCATGTACTGACAGGTATCCTTTGCGACCCGCCACTACCCTCCAGCTGCAGCTGCAATTCTGTCGGGTGCAAAGGAGTGGACATAGGCTTCTTCTAGTGTCGTGTTAGGGTGTTACCTGTGGCAGCTGCGAGCGAGGGCACCCGGCCATTGCGTTGGAGGCGTCACCATCCAGGTGGCCGTATCGCCCAGGTAGCGCAGCTGGAAGGCCCCCGAACGAGCAGGAGGGTAAAGAGGACAATAATTAGTTGCCTGATCTTCCTACCCACACCTCTGAATTTCATCATCACCATCACCTCCTTTGTCCCCCGAGCAGAGCAGCTTCTCCCTGCCTCCCACTTGCTCCTGTGCGCCCTGCCGTGTCTGTCTGGTACGTTTTCTCCATTCTCCTTGCGCCCGCTGCCCGTTTCACTACTGTCTGCTGTCGCCGGAGTCGTCGGCTCGTCCGTCCAGCTCTCCAGCTCTGCTACGTGCTATACCCATCCCATGCGACACGCAGTGTTCCAAAGCTCACAGCTCTCTTCTGCTGTAGGATTTCGAATCCCCGAACCTTGAACTTGCACGATAACGCCATCTCGAAAACTATCTTATCGAAGCTACCATCTTCACTCTTCTGCAATGGCTGAGACTGCCCCCGACATCAACGGCGGTTCCGTCTTCGAGGCGACCAAGGCCAGTATGGTATGTGAACCTGCTCTCGTCTTGCCTCTAGTCTCATGCTCACCAGATACGCAGTACATTCGCTCTATACCATGCTGTTTTCTCACCGAGTGTGGGGTATTTGAGAACCACGTATTGATCTTATCGGATTAGATGCTGCCGCCGCTTTTGATTCCGTCACAAACGGTGCGTTTTTTGGACACCACCTCCAACTTTGGAGCTCCCCCGTGCCTTGCTTTCAAATTTGCTAAACTCTTTGATCAGGACCTGTTGCCCAAAATGTCAAGGAACACACAGCAAAGGCTTCTAGTGAGCTGTCCAACCTTGCTGCATCCCGAAAGACCCCCGAGACTCGCGCTGCCACTGGCCAGCCATTGACACACTACCACTCGTTCTTCAACGAGTTGCTTTCTTGGAACAACCCTCGTAAGTAGCTTGATATCCAGCTATCTTATGGAATCGCTGACAGTTGTTTCCCAGGCGCTTCGGCCATTGCGCTCGTCTCGACCGTCCTTGCTATCCTCGCCTTCCGATACGTCGATGTCGCCCGCCACGGCCTTAGGTTGGCCTGGATGGCTCTGGGAATCACTGTTACGTCCGAGGCTATCGGCAAGTTTCTTTTCAACAAGGGCATCGCTACACAACTGCGCCCCCGCCGATACTACACTGTCTCCCGCGCCACCATCGACTCTCTCGTCGGTGATACCCATGAGCTCATCAACTTTGTCGTGATCGAGGCCCAAAGAATTCTCTTTGTCGAGAGCATTCCTGCTTCTATCGCTGTGAGTTTGCTGCATTGCTGATCTGTGAGAAGTGGTATGTAGCTAACTGGGATCATGTAGACTGCCATCCTCGCCTTCCTGTCCTACCACCTGACCAAGATTGTCCCATACTGGGGGCTTGCCATTATCGGCACTGTCATTTCTTTCATAGCACCTCTTATCTACGTCAGCAACAAGGAGGTCATCGACGAGCAGCTTAAGCACGCTAGCGAAGCTATTGATGCCCAGACCGCCCAGGTTCGAAGTGTTGCCCAGAAGCAGGTTCATCAGGTGGCTGAAGCAGGCAAGCATTACGCTGGCGATTACAGCCACAAGGTTCAAGATTTGATCCGCGGCCGCTCAAGCTCCCCCAAGCTTGTTGTTAAGCCAAAGCCCGAATTCCCTTCCCCTCCCACCGAGGAGCCAACCAAGGTCCCTGAGATTCATGTGCCTGACGTTCCGGACGAGCCTATCGGGGGCGTAAAGAAGGAGGATTCCGAATCTCTCTTGTAAACTCTCTGCACCTATCGCTACAGAGGAAAGAGTTGGGTGGGCTATATCATATGCTCATCACGCTTCTGAACTCAAGTGTGAGATTCTTCAAGGGGAGTGTTGTGCTCGTCAGCTATCGTTCGTGCTCTCGCTGCAGGAACAGAAACTGGCTGTGAGGGGGACGTTGGCCGATGGAGTGACATCGGTTCATGTATGGGTATAGTGTGCAGTGTTTTAAGTAGGTCATTGCAAGTTTGGACTGAGGAGCGCGAGGCTGAGATTGCATTTCTTTTACGACTTTCGGGATATCGGGAGGAGCGGCCTGGGAGTGGGCTTCATGAGTGCATCGTTTCCATTTCTGGATGTGATGCCTGGCTGGTCTTCGACTAATGACATTGTCTTGTATTTGGGGAGTTTAATGAGTACTAATGCTACGGTCCTGAGAATTCTAAGCAAGTTCCAAGTCGAGTTTTCCCTTTGCCAGATGTGTTCAACCCCAACTCCAAAATGCATATGTGCGTCCCAAGTTTTTGATTTTATGGGTTTGTAACCATTTTTGTACCAGATGTAGTATTTATAAATGTCCGCATTTGAAATTATTTTGCTTCTTACCTCCTTCTCTTACCACCGCCACCACCGTCCTCGCCTTGACCTCGTTTCCTTCCGTTCTTCTGCCAGAACTCCTTTGTCTCTCTCTTCTCCCGGGCAGCCTTCTTCTCCTCATTCGCAGCCATCTTCTTCTTGAAGGCGGCGTGGTTCTCGGCCTTCTTCACCTTGCGCTTGGCGGCGGCGTCGTTGCGGATGGTGAGGAGCTCCTGCATGAAGCTGCGTGCCTTCTTCTCCTCCCTGTCGTTGGTGACGACGGCGCGCTTGTCCATGTAGGTGGCCTTCTTCTGCCTCTTGGTCTCGACGATCTGGGACTTGAAGGGCAGCTCGGCGGCGAGGGCGCGGGGCACGCGTAAGGGGTTGAAGTGGCGGTTCTCGCGCTCGATCTTGCGGTACTGGCTGTTCTTGAGCTGCGGGGTCTCGACCCCTTCGTCGCGGCGGACCTGCCCCGTGAGGCGCATGGCCTGCCAGCCGAGGAGGTTGTTGACGGGGTTGTAGAAGCGGTGGGGCCGCACTGGGTACCAGGCGCGGAGGAAGACGATGTCGCTGAGGAGGATCTTGTCCTCGAAGGTGGCGCGGAAGTGGCCCTCGGGTTTCGACAGGGCGCGCTTGATCTGGCCGCGGATTCCCGAGACGGTCTTGATGGAGGCGCCCTCGAACTTTGCGATCTCGAGGGAGGAGGAGAACATGTTCTTGATGAAGGCGGTGTTCTTGAAGATCTTGTAGGGGTGGCCGGTGAGCTTGAGCTTCTTGACGATCTCGGTGGACTCGTCGACGCTGAGGACGGTGCCCGTGGCGGCGATGCGGAAGCCGGCGGTGGAGGGCGCCAGGGAGTTGAAGCAGACGAAGCCCGTGTTGGGGGCGATGAGGGGCGCGTAGATTGTGCCGAAGCAGTGCATGTGCTCGGGCGTGTACTTGAGCATGCGGCTGCGGGTGCGCGAGTCCGACAGGCTGTAGATGGGCATGGTCTGGAAGCGGCGCCAGCCCAGGGAGAAGATGAGGGGGTCGTTGGTCTTGAGGATGCGCT